TTCGGCCACCGTCGGGCAACCCGTAAGTCCGCACTGAGCGGAAACGGGGGCTCTGCGCCTAGCGTGGGGCTGCGAGGAAGAAAACCTCTATAAAAAATTACCTCCTTTCGGCGGCAACGCCACGCGCGACGGGTCTACCAGCCCTTTTAAGGGCTGGCAGGCACTGGCTTCGGCCACCGTCGGGCAAACCGTAAGTCCGCATTGAGCGGAAACGGGGGCTCTGCGCTTATCGTGGGGCCGCGAGGAAGAAAACCTCTATAAAAAATTACCCTAATCCCAAGCTTTGTCGCCCGGCGAAGGGATGAATCGTTGGAGGGAGTCCAGCGACTAGGGCGTCAACACCGGGGGGGGATTTTAAGGGGAATTAAAAACAACAATGAACACGACGAACAAAGAAAAAACTACCCGGGAGGGTCCCGTTCGCGGGGAATCCCTTGGTGGGTCGGACAGCCGGCCCATCGGCCCCATTGTATACGGGGGGGCCATTCGCCGTGTGAGGGAGGAGAGGTTAGGTTCGGATGGAGGAGAGAGAATAGGAAGATTATCTGACTCGGAGGAGTCTGACAGCAGGAGCTCCATGATAAGCGTTTCCAGTCGCTTCGGCTCCATGGAGTCCCTGGACCACGACGGTCCAGGAAGGTACTGGAGTGAGGGACGCGGCCAGAAGCGGCCTAGAGACCTGGAGCTGAGTGGCAGCTCCACAGACACCCCCGCTAAGGGGCGTAGTAAAAGGAGAGGACGAGGTCGCCCGCCAACCACCGGCGAATACGTTGGGCTGGCAGCAGCGAAAGAGTCCCTACGAAAGGCGACGGAAGCAGAGATGAGGGCACGAGCCGAGGCGGAGCTCCTTGAGTCAGTGGCAGAAGCCCGCAAGACTCGCTCGACCCTGGCTATGGCAGGCTCATCATCATCACCCGATGCGAGAACCGCAGAAAATGACGACACGGCGACCACTGTCCTCAAACGGATCGAGACCAGTCTCGAAGTTGTCGAAAAGGTGGCGAAGAAATCCTCGAATCTTAAGGGAACTTTCGTGCGCGCTCTACACGACGCTGTGAGTGCGATAAAAGAAGACGTCGCTGGCCTCGCGCAGAGGTCGATATCGGAGGAGACGCGTGCCTTGCAGGCCGACAACACCCGCCTGCAAGCCGAGATGTCCAGCCTCCGCAAGGAGCTGGCTGACATACGCCAGGAGATGGAGCAGGCGCGGAAACAGGGATCCGCCAACGCCTGCATGGATGTGACGACGGAGGCCGTCCCTGTCCGGCCCCCGGAAACACGATCAGAATCCTCCCTAGAGGATATTTGCCGGACGGTAATGATCCAGGTGGGCGGTATGCTGAATGCCCGCCTGGCTGCCTTGGAGGACAGACTGCTGCCTGAAAGAAACCTGCGGCCACCGTTGGCGTCCGACAGGAAAAAGGAAGCCCGCACATTCGCTGCTGCAACCGCGAAGCCCACGCCCGCGCCAGCTCCGGATGCTACGGAAACAGCTGGAATAGAAGAGCCCCCGGTGCCATCTCAGCCCGGCCCCAGCGGGCTCACGCGCCAAGCGCCCACGGTGCAGCCCAAAAAGGGCAAGAAAGCCTCCAAAAAAGGAGCGCTTAAGAAGAAGAAGACTCGGCCGCCGACTGGCGTGAACACAAGGTCCTCCCCCGTCGCCCCCGTAACATCAGCAAATACCCTTCCTCCGCGTCCTCCTAATCCGGACGCTCTTGAGGAAAACTGGGTAACGGTAGGGAGAAATGGAAAGGCGCAACGGCACAAGCCGAAAGCGGCCCCCGTGCAGGCATCTACATCTGCGCCTGCACCGCCGCCGCCGCAGAGACTAAAAGTGCCGAGGGGTAGTGCTGTAGTTGTGACGCTCACCGAAGCAGCCATCAATAATGGGCTGACGTACAGCGGCGTCCTCAGGGAAGCAAAGTCAAAGATCGACTTGAAAGAAGTGATAGGCGTCGAAGCGGTGCAGTTCCGTCGGGCGGTTACCGGGGCCACTATCATCCGCATCCCCGGCGCCACTAGCGCCTCGAAGGCTGATGTCCTGGCGCAGAAGCTTCAGGAGCTTTACCGCGATAACGGTATCAAAGTCTCCAGACCGGAGAAATTAGTGGACGTTAAGATCGAAGGTCTGGACGACTCGACGACACCTGAGGAGGTAAAAGCGGCAATCGTTAAAAAAGGAGCATGTGCGGGCGACCAAGTGAGAACTGGCCGACTCCGTCTGAACAGGTCAGGGCTACACGACATCTGGGCCCAGGTCCCTGTTGCGGCAGCAAAGAAGCTGACGACGGGCCGTTTCTTGGTGGGCTGGGTGGCCGCAAAAGTCACCATCGGCAGACCCAGGGAGCTGCGATGCTATCGCTGTCTGCAGCAGGGGCATGTGGCCAGCCGCTGCGATGCGGAGGACCGCAGTCGGGCCTGCTACCAATGCGGACAGGAGGGTCACAAGGCCGCGTCCTGCCCGTCGCAACCGAACTGCATTCTGTGCACGGCGGCGGGCAAGGACGCAAAACACCGATTGGGAAGTGTCAAATGCTCGGCACCCAAAAGAACGGTCCCAAGAAGAGCACTAGTTAATGTAGCGAACAGTGCGCCCCCACCGAGCGGGGAAGAAATGGAAGTAGTAGAAGTCGCTCAAGATTAATGGCCTTACGACTTCTTCAAGCAAACCTCAACCACTGCGCCAGAGCCCAGGATTTGTTTATCCAAAGCCTGGCGCAGTGGTCAATAGACTTAGCGGTGACATCTGAGCCATACCTGGTCCCGGACAGAAACAATTGGGTGGGGGATCTTAACCAACTAGTCGCGATATACGCAGGCGGCAACCCCCCAATTGTTTCTCTCAGAAGAGGAAGAAGTTGTGTAGGAGTCAAACTTTCCGGCATCGCCTTAATCGGTGTATACTTCTCGCCAAATCGTTCGTTGACGGACTTCGAGGAATACCTAGACGAAGTCAGTTCTTTCGTCCAGTGGGGAAGACCGCTCGCGGTTGTCGTGGCTGGGGACCTGAATGCGAAGTCGAGGGCATGGGGATCCTCCGTCTCGGACAGCCGCGGCGAGGTTCTATTATCATGGATGGCGCAACACAACCTGACGCCACTCAACACGGGCTCCGTACACACCTGCGTGCGCATGCAGGGCGGGTCTGTCGTAGATGTCACCCTTGCGAGTCCCGCCCTGGCATGTCGCGTACGGGACTGGGAAGTGTTGACTGAGGTGGAGACGTTGTCGGACCACCGCTACATTCGGTTCGATATTCTCCCCTCGTCAACACCCCCGACCAGTCGGAGCACCGTCACTCCCCCGGAGTTTGGAAGGATGTGGTCACTGAGATCCTTAGACCGAGAGGCAGTCGAACTCGCCGCCATAGTGGGGACGTGGTCTTACAGGATGGAGAATAAAGACGTCGACGACGGAGTGCGTTGGCTTGGCGAAGTCCTGGCGCACATC